GCAGAGTTGTTCCTCTCACATACTCTCACCCCTCTCTCCCAGCTGCTGTTCCACCAGTTTTTTTTCCCCCCTTCTTAAATACATTATCCCAGAGGTACTACCGCCGTCACTGATGGGCTCAGCCTTGGCCAGCGGCGGGTCCGTCTTGGAGCTGGCTGGCATTGGCTCTATCGGACATGGGGGAAGCTTCTGGCATCTTCTCACAGAAGCCACCCCTGTAGCCCCCCGCTACCAAAACCTTGCCACGCAAACCCAATACACCTGTAGTGTCCCGCAAATCACAAAGGCTGAGGTTTCTTGACACTGAAGAAGTTCTGACTATTGAAATGAGGAGATTATTATAGCAACACTTTCAACATTATCCAGGTCATTTTCTCAAACATTGATGACATAATAGAAATTTATGGAAGTCTTTATTGAATCTTAATTGCTCCCTAAGACCATGATCGAAATAGAAAAAGTGACTGCATTCTGCTTTGACTACTACAGATGATGTTGAGGATACAGAATCCTGAACTCAGATTTTTTCATTTAAGGGAAACTTCCAATTCTTCATATTTACATACAACATTTTGTATGTTTCCTGTAAAGTCACACAATATTTTGTCAATTTCAGAATTTTGCCAGCTCTTAAAAATACTGTTAGTTTTCTCTTAGAATAATACCAACACATTTCCTGATAGTCCAGTATGAAAGGTGTTTTTGAAGGGTGAGATGGATAATTCCAATATTTAATTTGCTATTAGAAGCCTGTGATATTTTGTGGAGGTTTTTCTTATTCTTTACAAGGAAGAACATTTTAAACCAGACACTGAAGAATTTAAATTGCATCTTCCTCACTAGCAAATGAGTTCAAATTAGCCCAATTACAATTAAAACATGACATATTTATCAACGATTAATGATGAGAAATAATGTAAAACAAGGACAAATCTGTTTACAATTTAATAATCCACCTCAAGTGACTACCAGGAGAATTTACCGATGCCTAAAAATTGCCACAAACTACACTCTTAGTTGAGAAGTTTAAAGTTTTTGAAAAAGCTCAGCTCTTGCAGATGCCATTGAATATTAAAGATTTCTAAAGATGTAAAAATAGAATTCCTTTGGTTGAAATTATGTCCTTCTGAGAAACTGTAAACCCCAAAAACTGCAAAAGCCAGGAAGTTTTTGAATGCTGACGAAGAAACAAGAGCTGCACTTCATTGTGATCTTGTGCATTTTTAACCTGCTATAGAAGATTAATCCAGGATCATAATCAGCATGAACAGTTTCCACAGCCTTTCACACTATTGATAACTTCTTCTTCTAGTTTCTTCCTTTCCTCCTCTTTGGACATCTGATTATTCCTCTCTTCCCAATTTGGATTGTTATGACTATTTAGTACTTTGCTGCTCTGTGTATGCCACATTTCATAATAGAGATTGTTAGGACTTGCAAGGAGGTCTGCATGTCTACCACGTTCCACAACTTTACCCTGTAAAAGAAGGGGAGTAAGTCAGTAATCAACATTACCAGATCTTTAGGAATATAAATGCTGCCAACACACGGCCACAGTTTTACAGTATAGGTTGCAGCAATTATTAATGAGAAGGAGCTTGGAACAGCAACGAAAGACTGAGTATGTGGTGCACTGAATTGTATGTTACACTGCAAGCTGGAAACAAGGAACTGTGTTCTTCTCAATCTCACATACATGGAACGTAGATGCCTTCTGTCCATCTGGACAAAATTTAAAGCCCACCAACATGCAAAGTTTTACTATCTAAACTGGAAGAGCTATTTAAAGTAAATGTCAACCTCTACCTGAGGAGCAAGGTGTTAAACTACTACTGCAAAAGTCACATGAATGTACCAAAATAAACTGTATTTGTCTTTGCTTGATAACAAACATACTTGCACTAAGAAGCTAAAAGAAAAGAGCATACAGAGAGGGATTTGTACTAGATAAGCAAAACACATTTAAAATCAAATCCTAAAAACAATTAGCGTAAATTGTGCTTTTAGATGGGTGCTCAGTAACTTGTGTCATTGCAATTGCCGTCACGAAAATCGAGTGAGCAGTTCAGTTCATCTGTGCTATTCCCAAGAGCAAAGATGATTTATTGACTATCATTGTGGAAACGGGAAGGAAGAGCTGGAGAGGAGAACTCAAATCCTACAGACAGTGAAACAACACTACTCTTGAAAAAACCAGACTCATCTTTTTACTTTGAGATACACATTTACATTCACTGACTTCAAATTAAAATAATGTATTCATTCTCCAGCTATTCTTTCTTTTGGGAAAAGACAGCATTATACAGACAACTACATGGATTTTGTATTAGTTCTACATTCTGATCTACAATTAAATCTACCTCCTTGTGACAGCTGCTGATGAACATGCTGTGAAAAAAATTGGGTCTTGTTCACTTCTATTACTAGTTGTGCTGGTGGAATCTGAACAAATACACACTTGACCAACATAACTGCAGAATTTATTTAAAAACTTTAAGTGGTTAATTTAGAGAGTTAATCGTAGTAGAGACTAGGCTTTTGAATTATAGCCTTTTTTTAACAACTCTTGAACGATCATCAGAAAAGTAACTTCTCTATTCAGCTTCACAGCATTAGGATCAATATCATTAACACAATGTTTGTTTACTCACTCAAGAATTATTCTGAATTTACCTAGGCAAAGGTGCTGAAATTGTGATGCCATATTTCCACTGCTAAGCAAAACCAGTCACAATCATCTTGTCTGATCTCCGCTACTGAGCCTTATTTATCTGGCTGCTAACACAGTGCTCATCAATCAAGCTGGGACGACAAGAGGCAACTTTCTGCTGAGCAAACGTCAACGATGCCTCGTGAAGCAGTTGGGCACTAAAAGTGATGCACCATGCTGCCTTACTCATTCACAATCTTTATTACACTAACATCATTCATGAAAGTGAGCACCCTAGCTGTTTTACAGTTTTAGGTTGTGCTTTTATTTTTAATTTAACAGTTACTCTATAACACAAAACACACTCTTAGTAAGCTGTGAAAACTTGCATTGAAAACAAAAAGTTGCAGATTGCCTTATAACATATTAAACCACATTTGCAAGATGTTTTAACATGCAGTTACATAAAGGATATACCTTAGGAAATGATTTTTCAGCAAAAGCTGAAAAAACAAGCAGATCAAAACCAAGTAAAAACTCCACAGAGCAGTACGAGTGATTTATTCCACTACATCATTTTGAGATTCATATGAAGCTGAGATTTGTATAGCAAAGATAGTCATGAATGTCACCATTTCATAAGATTTTGTTCTAATTCCCCATGAAATCATTTAACATACTGTAGTAATAATTTATTTTCTTTTAGATATGCGTATTTTAGTCACTAAATACAGCTATGATCACAAGCACGTAAATAGCAACTGAAAAAAATGAATGCAGAGATAAATTTAGTATCTATTATCAGCAGATTAGAGCACTATATTTTCAGCATTATCAGTTAAAAGAGTAACTATGAAGTTATAATAAGGACATTTGTTTATTTTAAATTGATAGTCAGATATGGGTAATAAAGAAGAAAATGGACTTAGGACAGACTGAATATGAGGTAACAGCTGAATAGTGATATTAGTAAATCAAATGTTGAAACTTTTCTTTTTCTTTTTTTTTTTCTTCTTATAAAAGGAGACTACAGAAAGGGAATAATCACACTTTTCTACAGGTACAATAGAGAATGGTGTTCAGATTTATAACATAATTAGATTGAACAATCCTACAACAGTTTTATCTGCATGGAAACAGAACATGCTGTCCTCTCTCTTTCCATTGAAAGAAAAAAAACCAATGGATGTGTGAAAAACAGACACTCACTGAGTAATGAGAATTAAGCATAAATTGGGGGTAACACATTAGGAAACCTAATCTGACAGAAGCATGTAATAAATTAGATTAAAAACATGCAACATTAAGCCAGTCCCAGAGCATCAAGTGAAATTTGTCATAATCCATATAAAGAACATGTAATTAAATGAACTATGCAAATGAAGTAAAAACACAACGTTCTTACAAGAGAGTCACACATACAAGTTTCTGCAACTGATAAACTGCTAGTTGCAAAGAAGAGAAATGTATAAAAAGCAAAGCTTAGGCTAGAATTTTCTAACATGGTTCATTTCCAAAGAAAGAACTTTCAATAGCTTGGTGGGAGTATAATATTTCAAAATGGACACACAGACTCTCTAAAACAAACGCTGACATGTGAAAATTACACGTCATAGGGTGATCACCTCACCTGATCCAGCACAATGATTTCATCTGCATCAACTACTGTTGACAACCTGTGAGCAATGAAAACTGATGTTCGGTGTTTCACCATGTCCCTCATGGCGCTGAGAATATTCTGCAAGATTAAAATAGAGACACACTCTTACACACTCCTAGGTGGTATGAAGAGATATAAAATGCTGTCTGGAAATATGCAAATTACTGCAAATGAGTTTTGAGAAACATCTCCAGTACTGCTATAGCTTCACAATAAGAAACAGCTACGAGTACCTACAGAAGAAACAGAAGAATCCCAAGCATATGAAATATCTGTGGCTCAAAGTCCTCAAACTGCAAAAAAACCCTTTATTCATAGAATAACGCAGATATCCCAAGGGACAAAGGAAGAGAAGTGTTACTTGATTTCAGGAAAAATTTTCCCATGCAGCCACACTACAAAAGCAACATAAACAGCAGTAAAGACACATGAAAATAATAAATCATAATAATAGTAATACTTTCCAATCAAAGTTAAAGAAAAAAGTCCCTCTCAATATCATGCCAATGTGGAACATAAAGTTACAGCAATCCTGGGAATTATCTATTTATCCATTGCTTCCTTTGTGAGCAGTCTTCCACCTTCCCAAACTCCATTCAGATGCAAGCAGCACTACTTGGGAATTTGTGCCTTTGCTACAGTAAGTGAAATGTCCATTTTATTTTCCTGAAAAACGCTTGCCTTTGTCAGAAAACATTTTGATTACCAGACATACTTTTGTGGAAAGGACTCATTTTCATTTGCTGTCTTTAAAGTGCAGTTCTGCTGTGAAACTTTCAGCTTTGCTTATGATTCTTGCAATAAATACAGCAAAACAAGAGAGAGAAAGAATCCAAGTAGTGTTCTGTAGAATTGTGTGTGTTATGAACATTTCTGGCCCAATGAGGAAGCTGTATTATATTTGAATGCTGTACTATATAGATGTACAGTTTGTACTCTGATTTCTTTGTATCTGGAAAATGAAAGTAATTTAGTGATTACAGGTCAATAAATTGGCTCAATAATCTGCATAAGTGAACACAAACATAGCTCCAGCTCTAGTTTTTTATAACATTAGATTGTGAAATTACTGCTGGTGCTCAGAGTTTTGTGTTTAAGCAAAGATGTAGTTATGAAGCCTGACGCAGTTACTGTAGTAGTATCATGACATCTATGTCACAACGCCCTGATGTTTCACAGCCCTTCCTGTGAAATGAATACAAATTGATACCAGCACTGCAGATAACACCTACCTGATTTGCATCTCAGAAAGATGCTGCACAACAAACAAGAGGTTTTCTGTTCTGCATTACGTCACAATTATTTATAAGACATTTTTAATGAACGATAAATGTCACCTAAACACCTTTTAAAGTGGATTGGAAAGCTTCACACTTCATCGCCACATGAGGTATTTGCAACAGCTTCAAGAGATGAACGTTTAATGGTGAATGGGACCTCAAGAGTGTAAAACAGAAAATATACCCAGAGACAGAGTTGATATTCTTCACTACGTCTCAAGATAGACAGAGACTCAGTATCTCTGATCTGGCCTTTAGGAAAAGGGCTTAGCCATAGGATCTCTTAATAATAATAACAACAGGAAAATACATGATAGCAATCTGGCAAAAATAACAGAATTCTTTCTGAGAGGAAAAGAACAAGGAAAAAGCATCAGAATCAGACATCATTACAACACTTAAGTTGTTTTTTTTTTTTAATCTCAATTTACCTCTTCTGTAATTGAATCTAAAGATGATGTGGCTTCATCATAGAGAAAAATAGGTGGCTCCTTTAACATTGCTCTAGCAATTGCAACTCTTTGCTTTTCTCCTCCTGAAGTGAGGGGGGAGAGGGGAGAGGAAAAAAAAAAACCAAAGATGAAGTTACAATCATGATATTCAAAATTCAACAGTAGACATGACTGTTTTGGGGGTTGGTTTTTTTTTTTTTTATATACATCATAGTTGCTGCTGATAAAGGTCTGTACATGTTACATAAGATATCACACAAATTCCTGCTCCGTGGTAAATCCAAAGTGATTCAAGATTGCTTATCCTTTTAGAAAAGGACAGAGAACTATTTTGTATATGCTACAAGGCAAGAACAGGTAACTAACGACAACGTCCAATAACTCACTCTATACACCAGGGAGTATGAGCTCATTTACCTGGTCTAAGCTATGCCCCGTACAGTAATGTCGCCTACATACATTCTGTTTTCTCTCGCAAATAAACAATGCTCTGCCCATGCCTTCCGTATTTGATTTCATGCATCTTGCACACACATTTTTTCTTCCAGGTCTCTCCTGGAAATTCATCTAACTTTCCACTCCATAGCGGCTCAGATTTAAAGTGTCCATACCTAATAGCTTTAACCGGTAAATTTCATTAAAGAACACAATTAATATGGTACTGAAAACCACCTTCATTATGCAATCTACTGCCTGTTGGTTTCTGATGTAACCAAGTTTCATACTAGTTTCCTTCCTTCACAATTCTTACAGCCAACATCTACCCAAGAATAATTTAGGACAACTTTTACAGACAGGAAAACAGGTGCATTTGAGAACTTAAAATCTGCTAAACATTTGGTATGCAATGCAAACATTTCACATTTGTGCACTTGTCCTCCTTTGTTTTATTCAAGACTTCAAAACATTCCATTTAATACCATTATATTCTTGTTAATGTTCCATTCCCATCAGGAGAGAACATGCTTTAATAAACCATTTAAAAGGCTGATCATAATGCTGCAGTTCAAATTTTAAACTGTCTTTGGCAGAACTCAGTAGCAATTAGAATTGTACAATTTACTCAATCTATTTTAATATACTCTCTCTCTCTCCTTTAAAGCATGTTCAAAACTCACAGCTTGACAATATCAATGTTTGAAAGACATACTACAATAACAAAATCCAAGGTTTTTCCTTACATTTATAACATATAGATTTGTTTCATGTTCTTCCCCATTCATATTCACGACAGCAGCATGTTAACCATTTCATTTACAAAGCCAGGGGTTTGGGCTGTTATAGTTCTGTCTGTTACACATCTATTAGAAAACACTGAAATGGATTCTACTTGGAAAAGCCAAACCAGCTTGGTTTTCATTATTTACTCTTGATGAATCAATCACTGAGACCAGTAAGAACTGCACTAAATGCTTACTTCACCACTTAAATTGATAAAGTTCTCATTGCAGTTAAGACTTCCTTATGCCTATTTTCGTACCACACAAGCAAGGAAAACCACACTAGGGGAGAGAAACTGAAATACTGAGGCTTGTTACCCATGCTATTGTACTAGCATTAGGGAGTTTTGTTTGTATTAAGGTTCTTGCCAATTATAAAAAAAATCCACCAGTTTAAAAATATCAAGACAGCACTTCTAACATACTGTTTTCCAATGTCAGTCCTCAAAGCAGTAAACTGTTCATTTACTGGAATAATATACCAAATATACCAAATTTTTGCATACAGGGAGAATCCAATTTACTTATTTTCTAAACTAATCGTTTGCTGCACTCAACAGATTTAGCTATTCACAGAACCAGGGCCCCAAATTAAGTTCACAGCCTTTACTGGCCCCACACATTACTACCTCTGTTCACACATCCGGGACCCACGTTAATTGCCATTGTGCCTTTCACCGAGACACCCACCATGTCAGTGGTCCTGAAAACCTCGTTTTTTACATCATGCATATAAAATGACTGGATTTCAAAGAGGACCACTTGAATTCACAGAGCTTTCACTCCCCCCATTTCTCCCACAAAATATTATTTTAAAAAGACAAAACCAGTCAGGACTTTGTGTTTTTCTTAGACTAGAAGTATAAGAAGCCTGAGTTAACTTAAAAAAAAAAAATTAAACAGATTCAGAAATGAATTACACCTTTATAACAATTTAGGGAGCCATTCTACTATTCAGAAAACTACAGAGATTCAAAGTAACAGATGCCGTATCTTTACAGAGCTACTGAAGGAACTCAGAGATACGCATTTGACATCTCCAATCCATTAAACAACTAAACCATTTCTGGCCATTACAACTCTCATTATCAATGAAAATATTGATCTAACAAAAGCACATGGGATACAGTGGACACGTTAGCTCCACATTCCAACCTAAAACCACAAACTGGCACCTGCAAGCAAAAGCACACAGAAGCAAATTCCCTGAGAGCTGAGCACACAACTGCATTTAAGATCAATTCAAAGTGCAATCTGAGAAAGCCTAAGATGAGCAGACATTTCTGAGAGCGTTAGCCTTAGACTCCTGTACCCTGACTGTAAACGTTAGTGAAGTTCGTTTATTACTATTGCTTGCCAATACTCATCTAATTTGTTGAAAATAAGAAACTGAAGATGCTACTGCAATGGCAGATGCCCACTCTGAGCTCTTTTTCTATCACCTCAGAAATCCAGTGTTTTTCTCCTGAGAAGTATTTTACATACTCTTTTTTTCTTTAAATACAAACAAAACAGGAAAAGAACACACTTCCCTTCACTTTCTAAACACCACTTTCGTTAATGCACTGTTATACGGGTGCTTACAACCATCATAGTGGAAGCATAAAATGAAGGATGGAGTAAATGCATAACCCGTTTTCAGAAAGGTCAGAAGGAAACTCCAACACACCCGCACACACTTCTCCAGATTTAGAATGGGACATAGAATCATACAGTCATAGAATTGTTTAGGTTGGAAAAGACCTTGAAGATCAAGTCCAACTGTAAACCTAACACTGCCAAGCCCACCACTAAACCATGTCCCTGAGTGCCACATCTACACGTCTTTTAAATACCTCCAGGGATGGTGACTCAGCCACTTCCCTGGGCAGCCTGTTCCAATGCTTGACAACCCTTTCAGTGAAGAAATTCTTCCTAATATCCAATCTAAACTTCAACATAAGGCTAAGGCTTTGAGCAACCTGATCTAGTGAAAGATGCCCCTGCTCACAGCAGGAGGATTGGTCTAGATGATCTTTAGAAGGTCCCTTCCAACCCAAACCATTCTATGCTTCTATGAACGCCAAGACATTTCAAACCTATTGTTAGTCAAATCCTCTTTCTAGAAATTACTAGTTTGGGGAGACAGGCAGCACAAGAGAAATCTTTCATCATTATCACAGTTCTCTACAGTTTTGCCAGTGCCTATTTTGTATCTTCTACTCACTCACCCAGATTTGTGCTTCACATTTTATTTCCCTTCTAACCTTCTCTGTATTCCCCTTCTGCAAATGTGCGTGCTTTCTCCTGCACATACATTCTGGATACAGAATGTAACCTCTGATCCTCTGTTTCAAAGAGACCAGGACTCCTGACTTCAGCAGCTGCAGAGTAAGAAATACCGCATATAGCTTGCTGTCTTTGCAAGAGCTGAACATGCTTCATTCCTGCACTCCTGCCTCTGGACCCGCACCAGCCCCACATCCCCTGAAGATCCATACATCTCAGTACCATTCTCAAGCAACCTCAACACCTTGAAGTTTCCAAACTCACTGAGATAAGTTTCTCTCTCCTTTAGGGCCATACCTCATTCCCGAAGGAGTAGAGCAGTCTGCTCTGCCGCTCCATCCTACATGCAAACGAAAACAGCTGACCTGTTCTTTGGTCTACCAATAAATGGTGTCTTGTATACGGAGTCAGAGTGGAAGAAAATTAAGCTCTGCCATGCATGTTTAGAGTTTGTCAAACAGTAAGGCCTTGTATTCAGGAGAAGTTGTTTAGAAAGACGTCCTACATGTTACCACAGTGATACGGACTCTCCTCAGGCAGAGCAGTAGTTGTGTACCGCAGTTTCTCCACTACTACTCTCTGCACACAATTCAGCACTATGCTACCTATCTTGTCAAAATCCTTCCAAATATTTTCAGTGACCTCACACTTATTGAAACACCTTTAAGACTGTATTAGAAAAAGGTAACAAACCAATATGAAAAACTGTGCCCCACCACTGCTCGTATTGGCTAGCAATTTTAAGCAAAACTATAGCGTGTTTTGCTTTTTCAAAACAAGACAACAGAAGATGGTTTTAATGAACTTCGCAAATCCACCTTCTACTTCTTGTAATATCCACCAAGGAGGGGAACCAAACCCATCAGTGAATTAAATGGGGAAACCTCATGAAATGAGTATCCCATTTTATCTTGCATCAAGAATCTATTAAAAAACTGTAAGAGCTATAAGAAGATAAAGACCTATTTAAAATGTAATAATCTAATAATAATATATCCTTCAACCAAAACAGTAATTTCATTTCTGTTTCATTCAATGCACATTAAGTGTCACATTTATGTGATGGACATAATTATTATCTTTGTCTCAATGCAACTTCAATCTAAGAGATTTGAGATTGAGAGCACTCCAGTGGAATCTAGCTACTACCTAAAAAGTTATACTTAAACTCCGTATTTTTAAAATCCTGTGTCCCCCCAATAAAAAACAGAAAAAGGATATGGGAAATGATTTAGACGTTTCCCCGTCTCCATGTGATCCCTCATCTTACATTATAACTCTGCCATAGGAAGAATGTTTGCTTTCAAGCACCATCTTCCCTATGAACAAGTGTATGTAATTTTAATATTACAGACAGCTGTAGAGAAGAAGGAGTAAAGTGAATTTTTTGTAAGAGTGGCCCCAAAAGGCTAGCATGGCTAGCAAAGCCTGGCTAATGCCATGATACGATCCTTCCAGTTGAGAACAGCTATGCTGTTTTATAAGTGCATACCCAAATACAGAGGGACTCTGAAAACCCAAACGCATGCTTTTTTTGTTTCAGTACCAAGGTTGTGATAAATCCATATGCTTGCAGATACACAGACACCATTTTCATGTTGTTTCTTACACAATGTAAGAAACACATAAGACATGAAGGCCCTTTCATTATGAACAGGGTCCAAAATGACTTCGCTGTAACAACATATCCCATTGCCTTACTTACTATCAACAGCAAAAACAAAACACCACCTAACTTCCAGCTGTTACAAGTTTACATTTAAGAACTCAAATCTGAAAGGTCTATGCATATATACGCAGCTATCACATCCTACACACAAAGCACATATACATAAAGATCCCAATTCTGTTCACACGCATTCCACTACCCAAATAAATTACAAGAAAGATCATTTTTACTTAGATGCATCTACATGCTTATGTATCAACTCATTTAACGCTATCCCCTGAAAATACATTCCTTTAAATATCTTGTAGACTACAGTTGCCTTAAACTACAGATCTTTGTATTAATATTTAGCCTCACAATTATGTTATAATGTAAATAAGCTTAAAGCAAGTCTGACTGAGGAATAAACTATGCATTGGACTTTGAGATAGCAAAGGGGATACGAAGAACTTGTGCACTTAAGAACCTACCTGAGAGCTTGAGTCCTCGTTCACCAACCTGAGTGTTGTAACCATTTGGCATTCGAAGAATAGCATCGTGGATTCCTGCCAACTTTGCTACTGCATACACCTCTTCTGGTGTCGCACCAATATTGCCGTAGAGCAGATTGTAATAGATAGTATTATGGAAGAGAATAGCATCCTACATTTATGGAAAGAATATTTTAAACAAGAAGAGTTTAAAAACTGTCCCAAATCCATGAAAGAAATCAATACAGAATAGCTTATATTTTCTACAAAGCCTGAAGGTAAAAGTATTTGGGGAAATTTCTTTTCCCAAAAATGGGATTAATACATTTTGTATCCTAAATATATATATACATATATGTCATGCATACTTTTACCACTTTGCTAACTCATTATGGGTGGTAATCAACTATAAAGCTAAATCATTTGAAGCTGGAGGCAGTTTCTCATGAAGAGGCTTAAACACATTTTAGAAATTGGATCTATATGATAATGCACATAAAAACACAGTATTTCCTGGGGAGAAAAACAAAACAAAACAAAACAAAAAAGGAGCATGGTGACTTTCAAGGGAACTAGACAATACCACTGCATTAGAATTGGCCTTCACTGAACCACAGTGTCAGAATACTGAGTATTACTATTACGATGGACTTCTTGGGGAGAATGAAACATGGTATACCTGAGGTACAACTCCTATTGCCTTTCTCAGACTTTCCAAACTGACATCTTGTATGTTCTGTCCAGCAACATAAATATTTCCTTTCTGAGGTTCATAGAAACGAAATAACAATCTCACAATTGTGCTTTTCCTGAAATTGAAAAGAATTGAAGCTAATGTTACATTCCTGGTTTGCATTTACAATCTCCAAACAGAATTGATGTCACAAACAAAAATAATAAAAAGCGAAACACAAGAACAAATGCATTTAAGAAACAAAATTCTGCATTGTTGATTGGCATATTTAGTCCATTTACCCACCCTGACCCACTACCTCCTACAATGGCCACTTTCTTTCCTGCAGGGACTTCAAAAGACACTCCAGCAAGGACTTTCTGCCCCTCAAGGTATTCAAAATGCACATTATCAAAGGCGATGGCAGCAGTCTCTGGTGTGATCTGCAGGGGTGGAGCCAGCTCTTTGTCCTATTAAAAGAAGAGTACCACGTTATATGCTGCCCAAAAAGTATCTCAAGCAGTTCAACAAGCTGAACAGTCCATTTCCCAGCTCAGAAAGAGGCAAATAGACACTCCAGCTTGGATATGTTGAAAATAATTATAATCCGCCACACAAATGAAATTCGTTTGTTCCTCCTTTTCCCCAAAGAAGGTAAGAATTTCTGCTGTAAACACTCTGCTTCATGACTTCTTTTGCAGTAATAAATTCTGCATCATTAATTACAAATAAAAATTCAAGCACGAGGCATGAATACTTAAAATAAAAAAATCTCAATACAAACACATCTTCCATGAAGCAACTTTCGCTGTCACTAAAAGGTTCTGCAAGAAAAAAGCAGCTGCTATTGCACTAACTGCACTTAAAGAAGAGGCAGAACAGCATCCTTACACAACATCTCTTTTTTGAATAGAAATTAAACCTGGAAGGTAACAAACAGGGTGAAATGATGGCATTGCCAGAAAACAGCCCTATTAAATACCCAGATACTTTAGGAAAATAAGCTACTACTTACTTTAATTTTGGTATCTACACTGAGAAGTGTAAACAAGGTATTCATATCTATAAGTGCTTGTCTTGTCTCTCTGTATACTGTTCCCAGGAAGTTTAGGGGAAGAGAAAGCTGGAACAGCAATCCATTCACCATTACTAGATCTCCAACAGAAAGGCTGCCTTAAGACAAAATGGATGTGAGAGAAGAAGGAGACTTGAAGGGTTGTCTTGTTAGGAAGCACGAAAAGATTAAAAAAAAAAATAATCAAGTCAATCAAGTCTAGTTTCTTTTATCCCATTTCTAAAACCAGATGTTTAAATAGTAAACAAAACGCATTCCCAAAAGATCAGATTTTATATAGGAAGATGCCTGAAACAAATGGCAATGTTTGTGTGGATTTCACTAAAAAAACCAAAAAAAGATATAATAGTACCTGGAAAATAAGACAAGCAGCATATCAGGAAATTCATGGAAAACATCAGATTGTAAAGTTGTAAATTCCACAGAGAGAAACATAAAGGGGCCTAAATAAGTTAAAAGGAGAGGAACTAATATATGAAAGCAAGAATCAGGAAAGACAATCTTAAGTGCAATTACAGACAAATCCAAATGATAGAATTTGTCATGATCAAGAGAGAGGACCTTCATACTATATACAACAGAGCTGCTAAAACATATAGTGAGAACCTCTGGGCAGCTTAATATCAAATACGCTGAAAACTCAGGATGACACACTAGCTAAAGGTAAGTGCTGGGTCAGTTCAGCTGAAACAGGTCCAGAAAGATGATTTAAAGCCGTATTTCTACCATCTTGCTTAAAGGCTATTCTAAATTTTCCTAAGGACAGCCATAAACTGCACGTACTGACTTATCCGTTCACAGTGTAACTCTTCCCTGTCCTGGCATCTCTTAAAAAGAGCAAAGCAGATGCAAGAAAGACAACATGATATAAAGGTCTACCCTTCAAACATCTGGATACTAACAGTGTTTAAAGCATCATTATTTTTACTCCAAAACCACCTTGCTTTAGCTGAGCCTCATCCTGATACTGCATTCTACTGTATTTGAAGCTTCTACTGTGACTTCCTAAACAAGCAGGCTTTACTTTATGTAGTAAATTAAACAAATACAGATTAAAAACCCTAACATATAGAAACAATTCTTTTAATAATGTGCCCTTATTAATCTAAGGAACGCGAAGGACACTGGTAATAAAACTACTGGAGATAAAGCACACTGGTATATATACGTTAGGGAAAAGTTCTGAATCTCGACAACATGGGAAGGAAGAAGGGTAAAAAGAAAAGACTTTTGTACAAGGTCCGCAGAAGTATTTGTATTTATAGAAGTGTCTTTCACAATCCTTCAACAGAAACTTCTTAAAGTTACATTTTCTTAGGAACTTTCTCTAACTGCTAAACTTTTAAAATGTTTCTAATAAAATCATATTAGTTACTACTACATACACATATTAAAAAAAAAAAAAAAAGAATTAATAATAGTCCAAGAAGCAGAAATACCCAAAACTCTCAAGCAAAAACTCTCAAAATGAACTATCACATCAACCACAAGTTAATTAAAATTAACACCTCTATTATGGATGAATTAAGGTAAAGGGAAGTCATTTTTAGCTTATAGACAGATGAGTTACCTGCAACAATGCCCTGGCTAGCAAGCACCATGATGGCCGTTAAGCCAATGCTAAATATAGCACTCTGTCCAAAGTTCAGGAGAGCTAAAGTAGAGGTAGTCTTCAGGGAGGCATTTTCATATGTCTTCAAGAATTGATCATACCGTTGGGCTTCATATTTTTCATTATTGAAATACTATGATATGCACAAAAAAAAAAGAATGTCACATTCTCTAACACACTAGACTGTATATTTAACTAGTTATAAAGTTCAGTGTAAACATACTATATGCACAGATACACACACAACCCCTCTTCACTTCTAACAACTAAAGAGAAAAGATAAAAGATTAGTGTGTGAAGACAAAAACCATGAGCAAATCCCAGCACATTCTGCACTGGGAAAGGAGACATTACAGAGATCCCTACCATACTCATATTCTAGTAACACTGGGTGTCTGTCTTGCAGAACTTCTACCTGATTACTGTCAAAACCAAACACCAGCTGCCACTAGATATTAAAAAGAAGAAAAAGTGACTGTCTTCTACGTACTAGAACATCCTCATTACTGTGAGGATGGCAAATTCTCTAGAACAGTACTTCTCGCACAATGTCTACTTCTGGGTCCTTCTTCACAGCTAACTCCACTGTTTTCTTTCCAGTTCTAGCTCTCCAATTAAAAGAAGTATAAACTAAGCATAAGCCTGGACAATTTCAAAGCTGTCCACAGGATTTTTTAATAGTAGCAATAGAAGAACCAATAGAGACCTGTTCTTTCACACAAACATTGCAATGGAGTGCTACAAACTGCAATAGGTAATGAAAACAGTACACAGTGGTCATTTGAGAAGACAGTATGTTGCAGGCTGACATTCAGAAGACAATTTTGCAAACAAAAGAGAAGCTTCTACCAGACTCTAAGTCTACATTTTGCAGAAACTGATGGTCAAGGTGATTCAGTCATGAAAGAAACTTCTCACTCTTTATTAGCAAATAGATTTTATCAAGCCCCACTAACAAATTTCATGCTACTCTGTCAATATCATGTCGTACTCTTCAAATAAATAATGTTTTAAAAATATGCTATTATTCCAAATATGTAGCCCTATAAAAGATGAATCTTATGACTCACTTTCCTTAGGCTGACAGAAGTAAGACAAAAGAGCCTAGTAGTAAAGATTGGTCTTACCTTCACAGTCTCGTAATTTAGTAGCGAGTCAATTGCAGCATTACCTGCATCATTATCGGCTTTGTTCATTTCTATTCGAAACTTAGTCCTGTAAAATGAAGGCTTAATACAGTCAAGAGTTCAGGCTGAGGCAACACTAAGTACCCTGATGAATCTGAGGGCATGCCTTACCTCCACTGTGTAATTCCTATTGTGAATGCTGCGTAGGCTCCCAGTGTCCCCAGGGTTACCAAAGCAAACTCTGCACCACATTTGTAATACTAGAATATTTAAAAGAAAAAAAAAGTCATAATAATTTTCAAAACTTCACTGTGGTCTCAAAATTATGGTAGCTTAGCCCGAGACAGGAACTCTGAAGGTCCCTCCCAACACACTCCCTGCTCTGAACTTAAGCTTAAGACTAAATACAGGCATAAACTCAAAAAGAAAGCAGCAAGGAGAAGGGTAGAGATAAAAAGGTAAGAGAAGATAGCCAAGAGCTAGTGTATAACGTAACACTGGAAAGTAATTTTTGCCATTATAAAACATAAATGTTGCTGATGTTTGTGCTGTTAGCACAAATAAGTATTTGTTTACATGCCTTTTGGGTGGATTTTGAAAGAAAGCTGAAGACTGCAGAAGACGACATAAATGGCCTCGCAAAACAATTTATGAAGCATTTTCTCTACTTCAGGGTACATCAGGAGAGAAAAGCCGTACGAAGAAAAATTAAAGCATTATGGCAGGCTGGCTGACAGCCAGCTTGATTTGCAACTTCCAAAGGTTATAAAATTTAACACAGTATCAACAGGGGTTTTAACTTATATTGTTACATTCAAATTTGATTAAGTCCTTTTAAAAAGAAGGGGAATAAACAAAACAAGATTCTTGCTTTTAATTTAGCCTAGGCTATATAATCGAGATTTAGATTTTAGCATATAAATATCCAAAGATCCTGATTTCAAAGATAGTAAGTGTGATTTATAAAGGAAGAGTTTAAAACTGAGCTTATTAAGCTTAAAATCTGCAAGAACGAGAAGCTTATTTTCCAAAAGGTAATTTTCACTTTTAAGTACTGGATAAGAAAAGACCAGTATTCAGAAGAAAGTCAATAATCACTCCCTCCTCTGTCCTCAACACACTAAGACACAACATTCCTGGACATTTATATTCTGCTTCCTCAGTATTTACCCAGATATATTTCACACTTGTGTGAACAGTTTACTTTTCTGATTTCATTTTTTCAACAATTCTGAAGAACAACATTAAAAACTATTCACATAAATACCACTGGCTGAAGGTGTTAAATGTGAAAATAATTTCAAATAAGCCAATTTAAAGTAATTAATATTTGAAAATTATGGATTGCTCTCCTTTACAGTAGTTGCTTTCACAACCATCTGGTAAATTCAATTATTATTATTATTATTAATACCCAGTAGACTTTGGTAAAAGAAAATCAACGTATTATTCCTAAATTAGACAATTCCAACTCATGAATAAACAACACTTACCAGAATTCCACTGACTAGTGCTACTTCAAACATCGTAGGTCCCAGGTTAAATACTAAAGCGCTAAGAACAAAACTGATGCCTCTTGTTCCTCTGTCGATGGTTTTTGACAGCGCTCCGGTTTGCCTACTTAGATGGAATGCCAAATCCAGGTTATGAAGGTGCAGAAAAACATTCTTCGCTATCCTTCTGATTGAATTTTGAGCTACTTTCCCAAATACTGCATTTCTAGCTTCATTAAATAATGCTGCCCCAGCTCTTGAGATACCATCTAAAAAAAGATGAAAAAGTTTACAAAATAAAAATAATTATCTTTACAACTTCCCTTTGTGCATGAAATTACACTAGACTCATTCTTTATATATTTTCAACATTTTTAGTGCAACATTAATTTATACTTAATTGGTCCAAAACTTTGTGCTATTTTTCACTTATTAACCATTGCGCACACATTTTAAATCAGTTTCTTTTGCAGCTGGTTATAAGAAAGGGTAGGATTTATAATCAAGAATCTTTTCTATAAGCATGATTTCATTTTTTAATTGGAATACCAGAAGCAAGGTCACAGAACATTGGAAACAGACATCAACACACAAGTAACTGTTTTGAAACGAAATAACCACCCTGGATGCTTAGCAGTGCAAAGGTCAGAAGCTCTGCTATCCCTCTCCCTTACTGAAGAAAATTAATGCTTGTCAACAGATTTGGGAATACCACTTACAGCCAATGAGAACAGCAGTTGCCACAGTTGCCACTGTATTTGGTGCATCGGTGAGGTTGAGCATGTTTCCAGATACCTGGTTGAGGTTGTCTACTGCATATTTAAACATGAAGGGAACCAATATATTCATGGCCTAAAAGCATAAGAACACCAATTAGGCCATATGCATTAAAACATGTATCTATGTAGCGTGACTATTTTTTCTGAAATTGCTCCACTGTTATATTTAGTTCTTAACCACTTAATGGGGGTGAGATGGCTCTCTTGATTTCAAGCACAATATTCTCCATACTATTAAGTCTTTACTCCTGGGACTGCCAGGTTAGTTTGTCTCTCTCACTGGCTCCTTTTAAATATCAATTTCTATCCTAAACAAATTGTACACTGCCAAGGCACTTAAACTGAGGCTGAGCACTCAGTATAGCAATGGCAAGACTAGGAAATGAATCAAGTAGCAGACACTGCATGACGCATACTCACAATGCTACTAAATTATGTCCTCATTACAGGTTGGTTGCTCTTTGTGATACTGGCAATATTCAGTATGAAGAACTACTACTACAAAAGAAACAACTCACCCACATATTGCTAACACTGGGTCAATCGAGTTGTATTAAACCAAAGCTCTAGTGAAGTCAAAGAAAAGAAGTTAACCTATCCTTTGTCTCTTCTGACTGTTAATACTACCTTTATATTTAAATAATGCTTTCCATTTGCAACATCACTATAAACATTAACTTAATATCTGCATTAACCCTAGCATTTGGCACAGCAGCACAGAAAACTTTCCATACAGCCTACAAAATCTACAAATTACTTTAACAATATGAGCTTTCAAACAAAATACTGAAGTCATATCCACAACCTAACATATAGTATGCCACTAGGTATTTTTGTAAGAGCACCAAAACCCAAATGCATCTCCTCTAACAGTGGCATCTCCTCTACATGCGAAAAGCAAGACAGCTGTATATGTAAATGGACCAACTTTAGGATTTTTTTTATTTGCACAACTGTAGCATGAGAAAATACTGAAAATCTTAAAGAAAACAAAATTCTTAAGTCTTGTTAATGTTCCATTGTTACATCACCCATTCGTACTAACAAGAATATAATTAATAGAATTCATTAATTCAAACTGCTTCTAACTGCGAAGATTTGAAAATAAGGTATACAAGTTTTTTAGCAGTTGAACAAGTATGTTAACACCTACAGTCATGGCAGATGTTAAAATACTTTACAGTGAGCTGACTTTGCTTAAAGTTGTTTGGTTTCTTTTTCCCAATATTTGGAAAAAAAATTGTAGATGACAAATTATTTCACATGAGAAGAAACAAAAAACCAAAACAAAGTATTTCAGCTCTCTCCACCAAATGTCTTGTATACCCACTTAGATCTCAATTGTATTTAGGGAAGTCTGTCAGAGCTGAAAGCCCAGTGAAAAAAACTGTAAATTAACTGGATAAAACTAGGTTTCAAGAGAAAAGAGTGGTAAAGTCTTTCACAACTACAGTCCAAATTCAAGCTGGAAGACAGGCTTTGAGTAATTGTAACAACCTTCCCAGTATCAAACATTCCCAGTGTTACAAATTACTATAAGTAGTGGAAGACAGGTACTTCACCAAGAGGGGAAACTGGAGTTTTGAAAATAGTTCTTTTAACTATAGGATTAAAAAAAAAATTTAAGTTAATTTTTTTAATCTGTTCTTTTTTTTACACATATATATAACACTGTTTTAGGCAAAAGTTTTAAATGCAAATGAGGAAGGAATCCATTTTTTCCTCTTCCCTCCTGTGTCTCCCCTACGAAGTACACTAAGAAGGGGAAAGGGAAAAAAAAAAGAAAAAAAGAAAAAAGAGAAAAAAAAAAGACTACCAAATTCTCAATACAGCATAATCTAGACAACTCCTGAGAGGAGACAGATGAGATCTGAGAGCATCTAGGTGAGAATATTACTGGTTAGTTTGTGACTGAAAAAAGAAAACGGTTGAAAGATCAGGTCCTACTTCAAATACATTCTTCTGAAATTTATCCAGTGCAAGCCTGACAGTCCTTCAGCAACAGCTCCCCTTTTAATAGGTCAGAATTGTGAAAAGCTCCATTAAAAAAAAAAAGACCCGAGGTTAGCATTATCTGCAGAAAGCCAACAAATACCATCAAAACAGCAGTATATAATAATGTCTGGTAACTTCAGTTATACACAGCAGACGAACAGGTTACTGCCATTACATGCTTAAACCTCAAGCATAAAGCCCCACAAAGAACTGAGGATGCATTAACAGAGATTTTGAATCTTTACAATACTGAAATTCAAATGCCTCCCCTCTTCCCCAGTATAATAAAAAAACCCCTACTTTCCCTTCAGAGTTACTGAAACTCAATTTTTGGGTGGCATTTTGTTCTTAATAAAGACAAATATACCACCACGTGTGTTACAGTGATGACCAACATGACAAAGCGCGAGTTTTCCTGGGAGAGACTACACAGTAGAAAATAAGAGTAATGTAATGCAGATTGTCTTGATTTGCTGCAGATTCTCAGAAATCCCTCTGCAGGGATTTTGCTCTTCAGTAGACTACGCTACACTATAGGTAGTTTAGAAATAGAACTACAGATATATTTTAAAGCCCGTTTAAAGAAAAGAGATGTATTCTTTAAACTGCAGTTCTCCACTCGCAATTAATTTAACCGGTAACAGCCTACAATTTTGCAGAAATGTCTTCTTTTACACCAATATAATTCTACCCAATAGAGTTTTAAACGAAATTTAAAGCCTGGTCTCGGGTTATAGTTGTTCTGACTCCTGGAGGGTAAAGCTTGAATAAGAACAAGGCAGCATGGTATTGCATTTCATTAGCAATCAAGACAGTCTGCTTTCCAGTAATTTAAAAAAAAAAAAGTTAATCTTACAAAATTTATAGCAAGAGAGATGAGAGGCCATTATTAGAAACAGGCCTTTCCTACTCAATTTGTTAAGTCAATGAGATCACATTCACATTAATGGAAACAAAATTTCAGCCTTCTACATAAACTCACAGCTATCTCTTTAGTAGTCTAGATTTGCTGGCACAGAACAAAAAGCTTTAAGCACACCTAGGTACACTATGAAAAGCTACCATGCAAAACAATTGTCTTACGCAATATATCTATATAGGTTTCCGTCCTCTTCTTAATGCTTGGTAACAATTCCCATTAAAAGACCCTTTTAATACAAATTTGTACATTTTCTATTTATAATTTTTAATTAATAGCTTATGCCTGCCTGAATTTATTGGAAAGCAAATACAGCACCCATGAAGTCATCCCAACTCAATTGCCCACATTTAACAGCACGTTATACTGTAATGCATCATACTTAAGTGACTTTAAACATTTTTTTTAAATGACTGCACTGTTTTAAGCTGACAATGCATCATCATCTCTATTCCCTTGTGGGACTACACTACTTTTAAGGCAAACAGTCTTATCTTTCATTTTGCTCTTCCCGGTATTTCTTGTTTAATAAAGATGATGAATTAGTGACAGGCTGAGCCCCAACAAGATAAAACTGGTCTACAGTGAACTCTTCTTTTGCCAATACTCAATGAGAAACATTGACATGAAGATGACTGAATTTATCTCTGGACCAATATAAACGTACACATCCAACAACTCCATTTGTGGAAATATAAACAGAAAATTCCATCCCTTACAGAGGTAAGACTGCTAAAGAAGCTACAAAATGTGGTCCAAAAGAGGGAAGAAGCATCTGGCTTCATGGCTTCTTCAAATTTAATTATGACCTGAAACGTACTTTTTCCAGTAAGAGGAAAAAAAAAATTAAAAATTTAAAAAATACTTTTCACCTGAAACTTCTCAAAAAGCTAACAGTTTCTAAGGATTTATTGTAATTATCTAACTCCATCTGAGCCCACAAAAAGGGCTCAAACACCAAGATCTGAACTGATCTGATAGATATCATTATCTTTGCACACAGACAAAATTTACAACACGACACTTGTGTCTTGCCTCCCTAGCCAAACAATTTCTTCTCCTGAAACTTACAGAATTAGCAGTCAGTGGAAATGCAGATAGTCTGAAAGATTCCTCTGGCTCATGAATAACACATGCCTGGTCTGTGACCAAGAAGGCAAAAACCATTACAGGCTGACAGAGGTGACAAGTGATTTTGTCATATTCACGTGTTTAATCCAGCTTCTCAGAAGCCCGAGCACTTTTTCTTCTTGTGCCACAGAAGAAAAAGGGAAGAAACAGAAAAGTAAAGAAGCATTTACTATGCATACCCCAGTAGAGACAACAAAAAATGGGAGAGGGAATGTGGAAAAAGAAAAACCAGATACATAGAACCTGAGCAGGCTAACCTATGTGTCTGAAAACATAGATAATGCCTTGTGTACTCCTCTCACTTATCTTCCCATTGCATCTTTCAGATCGCACATGTCTAGATAGGCTATAAATATTTAAGATAAAAATTTAAAGCATGTCATAATACAACAAATCTTCCAATGAAAAAAGGACCTTACTAGCCCTAGAGCAGACTCCATCCTGTCAGCTACCAGTCATAAAAAGCCATACAAGCAGCTCACTTTGAAGGCTAACAATACTACTAGCGGTTATGTGCAGACAAAAAGGAACCAAAAATCACAATAATTTGTTCAATGACAGGCAACTGAGCCCCACAAAAGGAGTCAAGACAGATTGTAACTGCAGGCTCTTCAGTAGCTGCACACAAACTGGCTTTTGTTTTGAAACTGAATTTTACTGAACCAAAGATTTAAAGAGACAAATTATTTCTCAAGCAGCAGGACAAGGAGGTATGATGTCCAGCTTTTTTGTGTTTTGTGGGTAAGTAAGCCCAATCAAACTGGGTGTGAACTCCTAATTTTTTTCCTGTGACTGAGGATTTCATAACCTACCTCTCCGCTGTGATTTCTCCAGAGTTTTCTTAGAATAAAATTGAAGCCACCCTACAGGCTCTGTCTCAGAGAGTCACCATTTGGATCTTTTCTTCTATCTGGAAACTTAACTTTATAAATATACAGGTATAAAACCTCACCAAACTCTTTTTGTCAAACTCAGAAGAAATTGGCCAAAAGGCTTATAAAAGTATTTCTTATTGGGGAAGGTGACTAGTAGCAGGCATCATGATCATATAGTTCTCTATGCAAAACCCCTAAGAACAAGCAGCCTTTAAAAAAAATCCATAATAAGGGTGTAAATCCTCCAGATGCAGACAAGTTCATAGTGAACAAAGAAATCAGGCCAGGACTGCAGTAAGGAGAAAGATATGCTGGCATTCTTGTGCTGACACAACTATATAGCAGAGAAACTTTAACAAACTGTTTGTGTGGTCTATCAAGTACATTGTAATTAACCTCACAAACAATCAGATCAAAGGGCTCCCAAATGGGATAATGAGGAAACTGCACAGGATTATACATGGTCCAGGCAAGCTACAGGTAAACTGATTTGTATTTAATTTTCTCTAGGACAAAGTGACCTTTAGTTTGCTGTGGAAGAAAAGCAGGTGTTCAGGGCTCGAAGATATGACAGACTTACTATAGCTAGTAAGTATAGTTACAAACTATTGCATGTCAGTTATGCCACAATAACTACATGCATACTTAGCACGTGTAAAGTATGAAGCAATTTAAGAAAATTTACCCCACAAAGGAAGAGTGGACATAGCTCAGATGATGAGGGGGAATTTGTTAAACTGCAGTTATTCAAAAATGTTTGAGTTCTAACACAGCTTTGTTATGACAGAAACAGAACAAAACAAAGAACATTAGCAAAGGATAGCTAGAAGACATCCGTGAAAATTTTCACCCCAGCCTGTTAGGATATATATTCTGTAGAGACCTTGCTGTGTGTTTTCCCAATAAAATCCTTGTTTGCCAAACATTCTCACAAAACACTTCCACTTTAATAGCCATCTCCTAAGACCTGGGCAAAGGTCAATAGGTTTTCTGCTCTGCTTCTGGGAATCTGCTCTGGACATCGGGACTTCCAGGCTGCCTTGTACAGAATCTGAAGTAGGAAATTTAAGAGAACACTTAGGAGAGATCCAAACATCTAGTTACATCCTCCAAAGACCAATTAAGTGTCTGATTTTCTGACAGGGGAAACATCTCTCTCTCCCGGTGGAAATATAATAGCTCTGTATTATAGCAAATACAGAGCTATTTGCAAGAGTCAGGCATCCTGGCCATCAATTTTGTTTTCATTATGCCTCAGAAAGCTGCTTGAAACATTAATAGATTTCCTAAAAGCAAGGTACAGTGCTGCCACATGCAGGATTAGATTCTGGATTCACATTCTCTATCATATTCACATTCGATCACATTCCTACAAATTAGGAAGTGGGAGGAAGAGTAGAAGAGAAAAAGAAAAAAATACTTCAAACTTACTTCAAAATTGCCTTGATTATTATCCACATTACTAATAAGAGGCTTTAAAAAGAAACTTGAGTTAGAAGAATTTTCATATCCATCTGGTAAATGGGGTATTCTTAAATATACATCACAAAACATCAATGAACCAAGCTTATAATCAGTTAAATATTATTGTGAGGACAACTGCATATACAAGGCAAAATGCTCCTAGCATCTGCATTTTGAGCAGATAGTTTCCCAGATAGTTTTTAAGTATAATCGAAAGCATTGCTGTATATTTTGCACAGGCATACAAAAAGGGTGGAAGTCTATTTGTACAGATGTGCCATATTCTGCATGTTGTCACCTGCATTATCAGCAACGTCCTGAACAGCAGCACAAACCAAAATATCTACTATAGACAGTACCAGCTAGCGCCTGATAGATTGCTCATGAGAAAGAGCTGTAGACCAAAGGATTGGCCTTTCCTCTTCAGCTCAAATAAATGAGCATTTTTCTCTTCCAAATACTCTTATCACCTACGTAGCTGAAATTTGTTTCTTCTCTCTTTTCATAACATGGCAATGTTGCTGAATGCTAATAAGTTGCTAGTGCAACTAGCTTAAGTGCTAAAACTCACTGCTAAGTAGTACCTACTTTAGCTTATCCCAGCAAGATACTAAGATTAGCTTTATGTTTGGTAAAAATTGCCATACTTAGAAGCAACCCAGTTGAGCCATATGTCTCAATGAAACTTAGAAAATTTACTTCCAATATTTTGCAATCAAATTTTTTTTTTTTCAAAAGCAAAAGATTTTTTGCACAAAGTTAACATTTGCTCTTCTGAACTATTTCTACAAGGTTTGCACAAAATTTGAATTATATCCTCCATTAACCTGCAGAAAGCTTTTGCATGCTTATTTCTTTCTAAGAACAAATAAACACTAATTTTCTTGCAGGCAAGAGTATAAGAGATCCTTTCACACAATGAAGTAAAGGTAAGAGCAACCGTCCATTTCATAATCAAAAGCCTACAAGAAAAATCATTTGAACGAAAGCATGGTTCAATACAGAAAATACGTTATACAGTTTCTTTCACATTAGGACACCAGAGGAGTCCCTGAAACAACAGAAATACCACTGTCATCTCACAGAGAAATATCAACATAAGACTGGAGCTCAAATCCCCTTTTCCATAGCACAGCAAGAGTTGTGAGTAGATACCATGACATTGCTCAAGTTCAGAGTTGAAAATGGGCACAGAGCCTTGAAGAAATCCTGTTTGACAGATACAGCACCCACAAGAGGAGAAGATTTGTAGGCAACCTTTAACTCACATTTCCCATAACTTATGATGTAAATGATTAATTGGCAATGGAAAATCCTGGACTAAAACAATGTGAGCAATGGAAATAAAAATTCTGGTCATCACCATCATCTCCGCAACAACACACATGCATATCACATGCATACACACCCCGTTAAAAAAATCCAAGCTATCATTTCTAATACTATATGCTTCTCATACAGGAAACAGACATCTTAAGGTTGTAAAAGCCTTTAAATAATAAAAAAGAAAATTATTCCTTGTAGAAACTCCAGATGAATAGTAACTACCACATTACAATGAAGTATCTGTTCTTACCTTTGCACTTGCTAAAAACCCCAGAGATATGGCTACTCTGGCTCGCAGGTCTGGTCTGTCTTTGGGCCACACATAAGACAACATTGCTCTCATAATCTTTTTAGCATCTATCTCTTTCAGCTATTGGAAAGAACAAACAAAGGCATTGTATTATAAAGAGACCCCAGGAAGCAAAATAACAGTATAAATAAGAATTAATTTCATACATTTGGATCACTTCTGTATTTTATTTGATAGGCAACAGACACTTCACAATGTTTGAGACTAGGACTGCATATTAAAATTACAAGTTGTAAGTTTTTAGGTTTATATCTGTGACACGCGGTTAAAACAGATGAATTGTTCTTATTTCACATGTCCTCAAGAGTGCAAGTATAGCCAGTTGTAAATGGAATACAGAGAAAGCCACAATTCACCATAGTTGAAATATTTTGCAGAACAAATAAACTGACCCTTCTTTTTTATCTTCTCAAGATTTCTGTACAAAATGCAAGGGCTTGGTATTTCTTCTTCGGAAGCTGTTTTAACATAGCACAGAAACAACGGGAGGGAAAATGCAAAAAAAAAAAAATTTAATGAAGTAACAAGAACTAAGGCAAGAACAAAGTCTGAAAGGTCTACAGTAAACGTAAGTAGTTTGGAGAACATTCAGTGAGTCACAATAGAATACAGTATTTAAAAAAAATCACTAGCATTATAGCAACTCGAATCTCTGGAACTGAACATTATGCTGATATATAAATTGAACTGAATATAAATTTCAGCTTAGATGATTTGGTTGCATTACTACAAATTTAAGCATTTCCAACAATCACTTTCACAGTTTTTTGGTCATCTTATAACTTTTGCAGAGAAGTGAGAAATACTCTTACTCTGCCCATGTCTTTTAGGGCATGTTTTCAGGAACCCAAAGGGTAGTCCTTCAATGGGTGCCCAATGAAGTTATGACAACCAGCAAGAAAACTACTCTAGTGGCCTTAACTCCGCTTCCAATGTCACCACTTCATTTAACAGGATGGCCCCTGAAGTTGGGTAATCAGGCTTCAGGAGGCAGAAGACGTACACGGCCACACGTTAGCTTAACTGATTACATCAATTTTTAATTAATTCTTCAAATAGGTTCTCCTTCTCCAAACCTCAAATTTTGCTCTAAACAAGACCACAATTCAGTTAACAAGTCTATTTGAGAAATATTAGGGGTTTTGGTTTGGGGCTTTTTGGGATTTTGTTTTGGTTTGGGATTTTTTTGTTTGTTTTGGTTGTTGTTGGTTTTTTTGCAGAAACATAGGTTATTTTACAGATCAATAGATGTCTGTATCACTTACACTTGAGATATATTCCACTAAACTCCCAAGCTAAATATATTATCTGAAGCCTAAACCCTGCTGCCCAATTGAGAATAATAGCACATGCAATAACATACAGCACAAGTATCAACAACTTGTTTTTCTGTGTTGGCTACCCCGAGGTTAAACTTGAAAGACATGAAGGTTATCTAAAGCTAAAGGGAGGGCAGCAAGTAGTAGCTAATCTCTCCATTTCAGGCAATATTTTGTAGTCGGGGGGGTGGGGGG